AAAATGTATTAAATATTATGATTTTGGATTGTCATTATACGTCCTGAATTCATATATAGTTAAATATTTCGTTTATTCGCTTCAAAAACAGTCATATATTTGACCCTCCCACACTAGGAAAATGACATAGCTGGCGGTTGTTGCTCAAGAACTGAGGTAATTAAGAGCTGACACTATAGTTTTATACTTCAAAAATTTCATTACACTTATACTATTTATACACGCACCAACAAACTCTTATTTTTTACTTATATTACACGTTTGATGACGTATAAAGGCTGCATATCATGAAGAATATGAATTTTTCAACTTTTCAAACGGCAGGATCTCAGAAACGGTGATTCTAGCGAAAAAAATTAATAATGACAATTTAATAGAGAATTTTATAGTAAATAAACCTATCTGACATAATTTTTTAAAATTTCTTATGATTTCGGCGGAAAATGGGAAAAACTAGATTTTTGCACCTTTGACCTTGAATAAAAAAAATCGCAGATGTCGGATCGATGAGGACTTTTGACATTTTATTTGTAATGACCTATTTAACATCTATACCAAATTTCAGCTCTATGCGAATTGTTCCTAACTAACGGCTTTTTTAGCTTTAATTTGACTGGGGTAAATGCTTTGGACAGGAAACCTATGCTAAAGTACAACAAAATTTATCGATATCATGGCAACCATTGGCATTTTTGTTTTCAAGAAAGTTAACTGAAAATAAATCAATTTGGTGTCTTTATGACCGTGAACTGTATTCATTTTAAGATTGATAAAAATTTAGATTTCATATATATGATAAACTATATTGATAGTCTAATTATAGAATTATTGCTTGTAAATCTTTAGATTATATAAATTTTAGAACAAAAACCCAATTTTCAGAATCAAAATTTTTAGAACCAATTTCGATATTTTAGAACCAAAAATTCAGAATAAATCTGAAATTTTATATTAATCCATACAATTTTTTATATAAATTTACTATTGTACCATTTTTTATATAAATTTATTGTTAAAACAAGATTTCAAAGTTTTAGAAAAATAGAGAATTTTTGTTTGTTTGCACATTTTCTGTGCCAGTTACTAATTCATTTGTTAAAATTTACTGATGATAAGGAGAGTAATTGCTACAACCAACGCCACGCGTGACTAGCAGATCAACACGTTCCATATTTGAAAACCGCGTTTCATTCAATTCAGGTGACAGTAGTAATTTGGATTTGGTCAGTGCAATTTTTAATAGTGAAGTAGTTGTCACTCCCCAATCCTTTACATATCCTGAGTTTTTACCTTTACGTTTATTAAAGTTTGATCTAAATAATCAAACTTCAGGCATAGCTCCCAGCCCAGTTTTATTCTTACGAAGAGCAATGGATATTGTTAAAACTTTTGATGTGACATATCAAAATCGAATTTCTGCATACATGCTTTTGAAAGTATAGATACGACTGGATCATAGGGCAATATTAAAATTTATTTTACATGTCAAATTAGAAGGTAGGGCTATGCAAGTCACACAATACATGCTCTCTTCAAATAGAATTCAACATCAATTCAATTCAAATGCAAGAAGTACTAAATGAGACCGTGAAAAACTTTGCTTTGAGACTGCAAACAATTCTTAGAATGAGAACAATTCTTAGACAACTTATAGATGCGGCTATAAAAAGGGTAAAGGATCTACAACAAAAGTTTAGTTTACAGAATTACTAGAACAGCTGAGCTTAAAATGATTGTTAAGTGTAAATCTCCTGCGAACTTAAATGCTGCGATTTCAATTGCAACGGAAAGAGATTAATTTAAATTCGAAAAAAGAAAGTCATCGTTGGCAAGTCACGTTGGCATCATTTGGCTTTCCTTGACCATGATGCAACCCAACAACAAAAGATTTGCTGTCATCTTCCTCGATCAATTGTATTAAATCAGTCTACCTGCAACCGCTGAGGCGATAACATGTCTAAATGTCAACAAATAGTTCTACCTACAAACCGGTTATTTATACAGTTGTTATTGTGAAGAACACAAGTGGGTTAATGTACGATTGATTTTGTATTTTAAATTAATTTAATACTGGGAAAACTAAAAACATGAATATGGGGAACTGAATAACATCCCGCCGATACTAGAATCACAAAATGTGCTTCAAGATACTTCTATGACTGATGCCGATTACGTTAAAAATTATCTAATTAATAATGCAAATAACATAACTCGACAACCTAATATTTCTCAAGATTCAGAAATGAACAAAGATAGTGACTACAATCCGGGACATCCATGGCAGCTGGCTACAAACCCAAAGAAACGAAAATTACATGCAACACTTTCTCCGTACTCAATTAATTTACAAAACAGGTACGAACCTTTAAAATCAATTAAAGAAGTTCATAAAAGTACCGGTAGCAATTCTCAAGAAAACACACCTAACCAAACAAGCCAAAAGCCGCCGCCTATATTTACTTATGACGTTGATGACATGAACAAAATGATTCATGAACTAAACACAATTATCGACCCAAAACAATACACATGGAGCGCTGTCAACAATAACACAATCAAAATTTTATGTGAGAATTCTGATGTGTTTCGTACACTTACAAAACACTTTAGGAACACTAAAGTAACACACCCTACATACCAATTGAAGGAGGAGAGGGCATATCGGGTAGTCATTAGGTACCTGCACCATACAACGGACGTAAGTCAAATTGTCAACGCAATTGCTTCATTGGGTCAGAAAGTCAGAAGTATTTCAAAAATTATTAGCAGAGTAACTAAATCACCGCTCAATTTTTTTACGTAGATTTAGAACCGAATAAAAATAATAAAGATGTCTACTTGATAACAAAAATTTTAAATCACATTATTCGTGTAGAACCCCCTACTAATATTAAAACAGTAATACAATGTAAACGTCACTTATTATTTGGTCACACGAAAAAATATTGAAACAGACCCCACGTTTGTGCCAGATGTTCTGATAACCATAGTACTGCCGACTGTAAAAAATTGAACGACGCGCCGAACCGCTGCTATCACTGCTCTATGGAGCACAGTGCTCATTATCGTGGGTGCGCAATTTATCAAAAACTATACAATCAAAAATTCATAAAATAATCCAACAACATTGCATAATCATATCGCATCAAATAATGGAAACGCCACTTCTCGCTCTGACAACACAATGACTAATTCACATCAAGGTCATAACTGAACCTACTCCCAGGTACTAAACAATAACAACAGTACTGAAAACATAACAAGTTCAGGGCCGAACTTCACAGCTTTTCTTGTAGAATTTTAAAATATGTTTAATCAACTGATTCAACAAAACACTATGGTGCTCAGTATGCTTGCAACCTTAGTAAATAAAAGACAACACTAATGGCTAAATTTTTAAGAATTGCACTGTGGAACGCTCACGGAATCATTCAACATAGATTGGAAATAATTACATTTTTAAAAATTAACCAAATAGACATTTTATTAATTAGTGAAACGCATTTCACAGATTTTTCATATTTCAAAATACCTGGTTACACGATGCAACACTGCAATCATCCTGACGGTACAGCTCATGGTGGCACCGCTATATTAATTAAAAACACAATTGACTACTATCCTTTACCAGTTTATCAATATGATCTCCTGCAGGCAACCTCAATAAAAGTCAATGCATAACATTGTCAGCGGTTTACTGTCCGCCACGACATAAAATTAAACAGAATGATTTCGAAAATTTTCTTTCACAACTAGGCCCAAAATTTATTGTAGGGGGAGATTACTATTGCAAACATACAAGATGGGGTTCTCGATTAATTACATCTAGAGGCAAGGAATTATTAAATGCAATAGATAAAAACAATCTCTCTTACATATCAACTGGAAGCTCAACATACTGGCCGAGCGATACTAACAAAATACCGGATCTGCTCGATTTTTTCATTACAAAGAATATTGACGAAAAATACATTGAAATAAAACCATCATTTGATTTATTATCCGACCATTCTCCAATCATTCTAACAATTTTTTTTTTTTAAACTTTATTACTTTTTTCTTACATTTTTAAGATACTTAACACTTTTTTTCTGACATTTTTAAGACACTTAACGCTTTTTCTTACATACATATTACTATTTCTTACTTATTACATACATTTTTTTTTTACTTTTTTCCTAACATATTTACATGTTTTATTACTTTTTCCTTTTTATTACATATATTTGAATTTTAACTTTTTCCCGAAGGTATTGGTATACTTATTCTCCAACTCAGTCATGGATGCACAGAGTCAGAGTCCTTGTTGTCTTCTGTTGTCCCTCTCTATTGCACACTCTGCATATACGTATGCTGCAGCAATGCCCACGAAAGGCCATTTTCACTTGAAATCATATTTGAAATCTATGATTTCAAGTGAAAATTTGGTATCAAGCTGCTTTGATATCGAACCGGCCGCAGTTGGATTCGAACCCGGGACTAGGATTTGGTAGCCCACGTTCTTACCACGGGACCACGGCCGGCCCACAATAGGAGTTGCACCAATACCTATAAAAAACAACAGAATGCTTCATAATAAATTCACAAATTGGGAAAAATTTCGCAACACACTAAATGAACGAACAAATCTTAAAATGCGATTGAAAAATGAAGAAGATATCGATAAATCAATATACGAATTCATTCTTAACACGTTGACGGACAGTAGGAACAAGCGAAGTTCGAAAATTGATACTATATGTTTTTGTGATTTTTAGAATGTTAGAAGTATAGTTTTACTCTTTCTGCTTAAATAAACTTAATTTTGATTAATTTAGTACCTTTAATTAGGTTGCGGCTATAACAGCAAAAATTTAAAAACGTAAACGACAGGTTTAATGGTTCAAACAAGCAATTTTTGTATGCAACAAAGTATTTTTGGGAGTTTTACACGAAATGTTAGTTCTTAATCAAACAAAAATAAATAAATGACAAAAAAAATTATTATAATTTTATAATTATTATACATTATTTTCGGTATGCCAAAAGCATGGTGCAGGACACAGTGCAGGTTTTGACATGCAATTCTTGCAGCAATATGATGTTTCCTTCCTTATTCCCTGTTTATAACATTGTTTACAACGCTGAAAATATGTGTTTCGCTGATAATTTTCAGGAGGTGAAATTTTCTCAGGAAAATGCTGTGTTCCATTGTTGTTGATTTCATTGGTTTGGATTTGTGCACGTTTAAATTGAACCAAAGTTCTTCCATCCCGTTTATTATCTATACCAGTTAGAGATCGTATGATTGCTTCCCTGTACTCTATATACTTCATTTGAGAACCTGTCTTTTCTTTAAAGATGTAGAAAGAATTCCATACTGCTACATCCAGTAGATGAAAGATTACCTTTTTATACCATCTAATTGTCTTCCGTGGACAGGAATAATAGGACATCATCTGATCTGCTCTGTCTACACCTGACATATTCTGATTATAATTCACTATTTCAATTCGTTTTCTCTTTTCCTGTTGTCGCCGGTTAGCTGTGCTTATCATGCTTGGGTGGTAAGCTGTTGTTAGACATAGCACATCCCGTTTATCTTTCGATTTGGACACATAAGTCTGATTTTGGCGTCGCCATACATGTTCTTCTTTTCTAAGCTTACGACGTGTTATTTCTTGTGGCAGACCCCTCCTATTTACACGACACTATGCTTCTACGTATACGCCAGTAAGTGCACATTTGTGCTACTATAGCCGTAGTGTCTAAAAACGACCGTTTCGTTTTGGACGGCTATAGCAGTCATGCCACATTGTGAACTTCCTATAGCGGCGACCTATTGCGGCTATAGCCGCAATTGTCCGTCAACGTGTTAACATTCAGGATTCAGTGGTACAAGCAACTCCAGAACTACATTTTTGTTCAGTGCAAGATATCCCGCTGGAAATAAAAAATCTAATACAGGAGAAAAGGAGGGCAAGAGCAAAATGGCAACGTTATCACAAACCAGAAGACAAAACTCAATTTAATAAATTATGCCGATTGCTCAAAGCAAAATTAAAACTAGCCACTTCCGAAAATTTTGAAAAATATATTTTAAGCCTGTCTAAAACGGACAATACTATCTGGCAGCCAATTCGGAATAATAAAAAACCAAAAATTCCAGCACCACCAATTAGAGAAAATATAAATAAACCTTGGGCAAGAAGTGGTCTCAAAAAGGCACTGCTTTTTGCCAAACATTTAACCTCAGTATTTCTGCTTTTCGACAATTCTATGGATACTGAAATAGCAGAAGAATTACATAAATCAATAGAAATGGTGGAAGCTATAACCCCTGTTAAACCGAAGGAAGTCAGTTATGAAATAAATAATCTAAAAGCAAAAAAGTCTCCGGGTTATGATTTAATAGGTGGCAAAATCATTAAAGAAATTCCAAGGAAAACAATTATTGCAATTACATATATATTCAACGCTATACTCAGGATTGGTTACTGGCCAAACCACTTTAAGAAGGCATAAATTATAATGATACTCAAACCAGGTAAAAATCCAACGGATGTTTCGTCATACAGACCTATCAGCTTGCTTCCTATAATTTCCAAAATACTGGAAAAAATAATATATAATAAAATTAAATATGATTTACCGACAGACAATTGGGTGCCGCCACATCAGTTCGGGTTCAGACATAAACACTCAACGACTCAACAAATCCATAGGATTGTTGAAAATATTAATAAAACATTTGAACAAAAGGAATATTGCAGTGGCATTTTCTTGGACGTTCGTCAGGCCTTTGATAAGGTATGGCATCCTGCGTTGTTATATAAAATTAAAAAACACTTTCCAGTTAAATACTTCAAGTTATTAAAATCATATTTAGAAAACAGATCATTCCAGATTAGAGTGAACGCTGAACTGTCAGATTTCTGTAAAATAAGGTCAGGTGTCCCGCAGGGCAGCATCCTGGGACCATTATTATATGTTTTATTTACAATAGATATACCAATACCTCCTAACTCTATTATAGCTACATTTGCAGACGACACTGCTATCTTATTCAGAAATCAAAATCCTCTATTAGCATCTCAACTGACTCAAAATTATATCTACATATTAGAGAAATGGCTAAACAAATGGCACATACGGATTAACGAATCAAAATCTGCGCACATAGCATTCACGTTGTGTCAAAAAATTTGTCCTCCTGTATATTTAAACAACATCATGATCCCACAAGTACAAGTAGTAAAATATCTGGGACTCCATCTAGACACAAGACTCACGTGGAAAGAACATATAAAAAAGAAAAAGGAAAAAATTCTACTAAAAATGAAGGAGATGAACTGGTTACTTAGCGGACAGTCCAAACTATCCGTCGAAAACAAACTACTGCTATACAAGGCCATCATTAAGCCAATATGGACCTATGGTCTAGAGCTGTGGGAGCTTTAAATCTAATCTGGAAATTATGCAGAGAACACAAACTAAAATCTTAAGAGCCATCCTCAACTCACCCTGGTATGTCACAAATCAAACTGTCTATGGCGACCTAAAAATGCTGACTGTGCACGAAACATATAAAGAACTATCATCAAAATACCGTAACAGATTGGAGATGCACCCAAATGAATCGATAAAGGATTTACTGTGCCCTCAACAAAACTCAAGATTGAAGAGAAAGTGGCCTCTACATAGTATTTAAGTAAAATCACTAGTTATATCTTATATATAAAATTCTTCTGTAACAATGTAAGTTTCATTAATCCTCCTAAACTATAATTCGGATTTTCATGAATCTTCCTGACGTTTGTTCGGGAAATTTTCTAGAATGTTTTGATTCATGGAAATATAGTTAGATTGTAGAAATAAATGGAAAAAATTACAAAAAACCGCTTATCATTGTTTGACATTGAAAATATTTTGGGCATTGCAACTGTCATCTGTCAAAAATTTCCCTTTACTCAGGACATTATATTAGAATATGTATTATAAATTCATGATTATGAATAAAAATTATGAATATTATTGCCGAAAAGCAGCTGAGATGTGACAGAAGTTAAATAAAGTATCTTTTTTCCAGATACAATTATACGAGTATATTTTAGTTTAACAGATGTTGAAATACAAATGTAATTAAAATTTTTCTTTGAAGGCTATGATTTATGTTTAATTAAAAGCAGATCAAAAATTGCAAAAGATATTATTACGGAAATTCAACTAAAATATGTCTATATGTGAAAAAATTTACACGTCGTTAACCAAATGCAGAGATATATCAAAAACAGATAGCAAGTTTTGCAACAGAATAACATTAATGTTTCTAATATGCAGCTAAATTTGACTATATATGTGACAACAAACATAAAATCAATTATTTAACATATTGGAAGCAATTAATTAGTACCCAAAAACTTGCATAATAAACTGTATAGTATCTAATATAGTGAAAAATACAATATTGTGGAACATACATACATATTTTATTCTTTAATACAGTAATATTGTATTCTTTTCAATACATAATATTATTCTGACAAAACATATTTTACTATTTAATTAAATTTAGTATAATCGCACAAGCATACATGTCAACAATAATCAATTTAAACATAATCAAAAGGTCTTGATACAAAAGCATCATTTTGTTTCAAACCTGGTGTCTTTCTTTCCAATGTGTAGAACTCAATCTGATAATACCTCCTAAAAACCATGTCTTTTTTGCATAGACTCCTATTTAACGTCTCGAAGCACTATTTCAAATGATTGGTATGACACTGCTATTCAATTACTGTATGCTTAACAATTCACTCACTTTTTATCCTCTCACACAATGAATGTATATAAGCAATCTCAGCCCATTACACTCAAACATTTATTAAATAAGGAATATAATCAACCATATTCGAAGTCTCAATAATATATTTTTCTGTCGAGACATACTCAAATGTATCATTGAGTCTCAAATTATACAATTATGCAGCATGTAATTATAAAGTGTCAAAACAGATTATCATCTCTTTCTTCTAGATAATGCAGCTGCCTGAATTTTTTGTTATGGTATATCTAATGTATGCTCAATTTTAATGTTTTCCATCACAATTTTTATGGATATGAAATACTGGAAAAAATAATATATAATAAAATTAAATATGATTTACCGACAGACAATTGGGTGCCGCCACATCAGTTCGGGTTCAGACATAAACACTCAACGACTCAACAAATCCATAGGATTGTTGAAAATATTAATAAAACATTTGAACAAAAGGAATATTGCAGTGGCATTTTCTTGGACGTTCGTCAGGCCTTTGATAAGGTATGGCATCCTGCGTTGTTATATAAAATTAAAAAACACTTTCCAGTTAAATACTTCAAGTTATTAAAATCATATTTAGAAAACAGATCATTCCAGATTAGAGTGAACGCTGAACTGTCAGATTTCTGTAAAATAAGGTCAGGTGTCCCGCAGGGCAGCATCCTGGGACCATTATTATATGTTTTATTTACAATAGATATACCAATACCTCCTAACTCTATTATAGCTACATTTGCAGACGACACTGCTATCTTATTCAGAAATCAAAATCCTCTATTAGCATCTCAACTGACTCAAAATTATATCTACATATTAGAGAAATGGCTAAACAAATGGCACATACGGATTAACGAATCAAAATCTGCGCACATAGCATTCACGTTGTGTCAAAAAATTTGTCCTCCTGTATATTTAAACAACATCATGATCCCACAAGTACAAGTAGTAAAATATCTGGGACTCCATCTAGACACAAGACTCACGTGGAAAGAACATATAAAAAAGAAAAAGGAAAAAATTCTACTAAAAATGAAGGAGATGAACTGGTTACTTAGCAGACAGTCCAAACTATCCGTCGAAAACAAACTACTGCTATACAAGGCCATCATTAAGCCAATATGGACCTATGGTCTAGAGCTGTGGGAGCTTTAAATCTAATCTGGAAATTATGCAGAGAACACAAACTAAAATCTTAAGAGCCATCCTCAACTCACCCTGGTATGTCACAAATCAAACTGTCTATGGCGACCTAAAAATGCTGACTGTGCACGAAACATATAAAGAACTATCATCAAAATACCGTAACAGATTGGAGATGCACCCAAATGAATCGATAAAAGATTTACTGTGCCCTCAACAAAACTCAAGATTGAAGAGAAAGTGGCCTCTACATAGTATTTAAGTAAAATCACTAGTTATATCTTATATATAAAATTCTTCTGTAACAATGTAAGTTTCATTAATCCTCCTAAACTATAATTCGGATTTTCATGAATCTTCCTGACGTTTGTTCGGGAAATTTTCTAGAATGTTTTGATTCATGGAAATATAGTTAGATTGTAGAAATAAATGGAAAAAATTACAAAAAACCGCTTATCATTGTTTGACATTGAAAATATTTTGGGCATTGCAACTGTCATCTGTCAAAAATTTCCCTTTACTCAGGACATTATATTAGAATATGTATTATAAATTCATGATTATGAATAAAAATTATGAATATTATTGCCGAAA